CTATCAACTAGACAAAATTACCGAGGTTCAGTTAATCTACTTTCCTGCGACTTGCATAAACTTTTTGATCTTTGATCGTAACTAAACAAAGCAAATAAAGTGATAAAATATATGCTTTACTGTGTAGATAGTATTCCAACTTCGAAGTACTAAAGGCGAATTTTAAAACAAAATTTATGCCGATGAGTAACTCAAATACTGGTTTCCCGCATGGTTTACACGGTTTTCCTTTAACTGTTTCTTGCAGGCGCACGACCAATTTGTCAACAATTTCATGAATTTCCAATAACAATAACAATGGCAAAAAAACAGCATCTATAATGTACCATAAAAATCTAATTACAAGGTCAATGTCACCGAAAGATTTTTTGTTTACCATTCTGCTCAATATGATAGGACTTACCTAAAGTAACCCAAAAGAAAAACAGTCACCAACAGCACTAAATAAACATAATTTGCAGTACTTAATTGCACACTACACAACACACCTATGTCTACGATAAACAATAATTGTCGACGGAGATGACAGATGACAGTGGCGGTCAGGTGATGTGACGTTGCCAGATTTAGTCCGTGATGTGGGGAAATTTGACATTGCGCACTTGCAGTTGCGCGCACAGAACACCTCTGAACAAGAAGTAACAACTCCATGCATACACCTGTGACCGCTTATGCGCGCTCTCTGCCAGCTGTTTACGTCCCTAAATTAAAACGAAGCGGCAATTTTGAATGATAAATTTCGATATGATTGTAACTTTCTCTTATTTCTTATATTTCTTAAGTCCATGTCCCATGTATCTGTTTGTACGACGATACGAAAGTGTTTCTATTGGTTGGAGAACTGTCAATTCGTCTGTCGTCCTACGAACAACGAATGCTTTGATAATATTATTATTTACAATTATAATTACATATTATTAAGTACCGATTTTCCTTGAAGACGTATAAATCAACTGTTTAAAAAGTAAATTTTACATTGCTTATGAAAGGAAGCGATAAGCAAATTTTCATGTAACATTTCAAACATTTAATTATTTTGCTAAAATCACCTTTAATAAAAAAA